AAAAAACGTATAACGTAGGTGTCGCCAATAAATATTTAGGATAAGTCAAAGGAAGGTGGAAGTTATTGGTACCAATATGGTCTTATTCATAAAAGTTCTATATCTTTTTTTAATTTTTGAAGTCTCTAGGGGGGCATGCCTCCCTTTCCTACCCCCCTCCCTCTTGGCGACGCCCATCGTAATGATAATGGGACACTTCAATGGGTGTAATACTACGATCTGCCAAAATGTTTTAAAAATCATCACCCATGTAGTTTGATGTTGACGCCATCTATCTATTGTAACATGAAACTATAAATGCGTGACGTATATATTTAATAGTAGCTATTTATCTCAAGGATGTTCTAAGATGTATCTAATTTTATTTTACTAGACAAATCTATTAATTTCATAGCTCTGTAACTTTTGAGATCTTTTGAAGATATTTTTGTTCTGACATGTCTATTAGATTACTATGTGTATTACATCTATGACATCTCTAATTTAGTCTTTTAAAGTTAATATTTTTATTAAGATATATCTATGAGGTCTACATATATAACCTTGGCCTGTACGTACAATGAAAACATCCAGAGTAGAAAACGAATGAGTAAATGAGAGAGGAAATATGGAACAAAGACCGCGGTCCTAACAAAGACCGCGGTCCAATAACATTAAATAACAGACCTATCTTGATAATAAAAATTTCCCTTACAATGGATAAGCTTCTTGAAAATTTTTAACACTGGTTTTTAACAATTCTTTTAACAGTTTAGGCTACAAACTCTAACAAATCTACACTATAATAATAAAGCGTAAACACAGACTTCTTTGTTGCCTAAGATGTCAGCAATTACAGAATATTTTTGAATAATTCTTTTTTTAATAAAAAGCCCTACACTTACGTCACGCTTTAGACTATATATTTTAACGGCATTAAACTTAGGGGGTAAATGTTTTGGTTAAAAACCCTAACGTGGGAAAGAGACCATAAATTGTCATTTGTAATTTGATAGATGTAAACCATAAAATAAAATATTTGTAATTTCATGCAGATAAAGCCGCACGGGAACAGTTAGTATTCTTCTAAATTTTCGCATTTAAATATTAGTTAGATTTATAAAGTAAAGAGGAAATAATTGTCTTCATTTAGAAGTAAAGGAATGAAACGAATTCATTTTTTCTGTATAACGTTGGTATGGACGTTGATCTTTTCTTTTTTCTGACAAACAGACTTGCCAACAATTAAATACTGATTTGTGATAATAACCGTTTACTGGAAATAATTGGCAAAAACATCAAATGCGTCAGAGCAACTTCTTTTCACGCAACACAGTTATACACAAAGTTATAAATAAAAATTTGTATACAAGCTCTATAACTAAAACTCGCTAAATTCTAGTTATGTGTTAATATTTTAATCGTAAATGTCTTATAAAATTCGCGTTGTAGGAATGACTGCCCTAAATCGCGTTATAGTGAGCCGTTTATAAATCGTTGGGAATGTTCATGTTATAGAGGGTAATTTCTGCGTTATACAGAGGTTCAGAATTCACTTTGAAGGGGGTTTACTGTATCTTAGATTGACAATAATGGGCATTGTTTGTAATTTATTCAAATATCTGAAGAGATAACAGTTTTAGGGATATTTATTATGAATCTATCATCATTCATTTGCCCTTATCCCTTACAGAGGGTCGGCACAGTATGTGCTGCTCTTCCATACATTTCTATCAACCGTCATATCTGAATCCACTCCTTTCTTAAGCATATCCTCTTCACACAATTCATCCATACTTTCTTCGATCTTCCTCTACCTTTGTAGCCATCCACATTCAATGTTAACACTTTCTGGTTTTTGTCCCCATCGCCTCTTCGCATAACATGTCCATACCGTTTTATGAATCTGTACTTAAAAAATCTTCTTCTTTTGTCCTCAGGTATACATCACAGAGATAGCCGTTCCAGAAATAAGAGGATGTCTCAGTTCAGTATCAAAAATACTGAGCCAAATAGGAATTCTCATCTCCTACTCTCTTGGAGCATACTTGAACTGGCAACAACTCGCTTTCGTAGTCGCGACCGCTCCGATCCTTCTCTTCCTAGCTCTCCTCTTCATTCCTGAAACTCCTTCTTCTCTTTTCCTCAGAGGGAAAGAGGAAGAAGCCGCGGATTCCTTGCAATGGCTACGAGGACCTGACTCTGATATCCGACAGGAATTAGCTACGATCAGAACTAATATACTGGCGAGTAAGCAGTACCATAACGGAAGAGCTGGAAAATTTCAAGTCTTGCTATCTAAAAGATTGACAAGACCTGTGCTGATTACTTGTGGGTTAATGTTCTTCCAGAGGTTTACTGGTGCTCATGTGTTCAGTTTCTACGCTGTGCCTATGTTTAAAAAGACATTTAGAATGATGAATCCTCACGGAGGGGCTATAGCTACTAGTGCTGTCCAACTTTTAGCATCTTGTTTATCTGGAATGCTTATAGATAACGTTGGTAGATTACCTTTGTTAATGATAAGTGGCGTAATGATGTCTATCGCGTTAGCTGGTTATGGTTCTTATGCATATTATATGGCGATATTTATGAATTCAACTGACCTAACTCAAACAGAACCAGGCGCGTATGATTGGATACCTTTGATTTGTGTTTTAACGTTTACTATAGCTTTCTCATTAGGGATTAGTCCGATATCTTCTTTGTTGATTGGTGAATTATTTCCATTGGAATATAGAAGTACGGGTAGCGCGTTAGCGACCAGTTTTAGTCATTTATGTGGTTTTGTTAATGTGAAAACAGCAGCGGATATACAAGATCATATAGGGTTGTATGGTCTTTTTTGGTTGTATGCTGGTATCTCTGTCCTTTGTCTACTCTTTGTTGTTCTTTTTGTACCTGAAACTAAAGGTAGAGAGATTGATGAGATGGATCCTAAGTATGTTGAATCTTTGTGTATAAATCGATAGTTGTATCAAGATTGTGTGGTTATGGTATAGCAAAGAGATTAAAAATATATATAGAGTGAGCATAGTTGACACTTCATTTGAGATATTTTTCACACGATTCTCACTAACGCTATCTGTTAGCCTCGAAATATATGTCCATATAATTAAATGTATTTATTTTATAGATGTCACTAAATAATATTTAAATGTTTATTTTTTGTGACGCTGTTTATTTTAAAACAAAAGATGAATTACGCTTTTGTAAAATGTCAATACAAAGACACTAATCTTGACAACTAATATATTACCTGTCACAGAAATTACCGGTGGAACTTTGTTCACTATGCCTAGTCTATGTATTTCTTAAATTCTTTGGTTTAGACTGATTTTCTTTTATGAATGAGTTTGGTTTGCCTTGGTACGGCAATTTAGAAGTGAGAAAGTTTTATTACAGTATTATTTCTTAAGTAGATGTTTCGAGATTTCAGTGCCTTGTTTTATAAAGTTCCTTATGTAATATTTCAAATAGAGCAGCTAAATAGAGATAAATGGAATTATCTTTTGTAGATTTTTCTGTAGGAATATTTTAATATTTGCTAGTAAATATTTATTTATTGTATATAGTTTTTTGTAGATAATCGTTAATTATACTTATTTGTCCTGTTTACTGAAGTATATAATGTTATAGCTAAGTTTACCTATCACAAATACTATCCAAGGTGCTAATTATACAAATCTTACTAATATTATAAATTCGAAAGTTTCGATGGATGTTTGTTAGAGTTTGTAGCCTAAACGATTGAATGGATTTCGATGAAATTTGGTTTAGATGTAGAGGATGAAACAAAAAGGCTACTCATTTTTTTATCCCACGCGAATAAGCGCGCGAAAGCTAGTATTATATTTTATATAAATGATTAAATAAATCATTCATATAATATTGTGGCTTTCAATTGTCGGTTAATAATTTTTTTTTATATAAATTTATTCTTTGTTTTGTTTCGATGTTTTCATAATAGACCAAATTGTTTATATAAATACGAAATTTAAAAATATGAATCTTGCAAAATTATGGATGGTGCTTAAAGGTGCCTCGTTTAGTATTATATTTTAAAGAATTTTATCTAGTTAATATTGTAAATAGATAGATGTACATATATAATTTATGTAGAGAAATAACAAATGTTGCCATAAGTTAGGATAAAATCTAATGAATGTATTTTATTTCTGTACTTAAAGAAAGGTGATGTTAAGTCTTAATAAAATTTTTTTGAAAGTAAAACGATTTTTTTTAACTTAAATCCCACTCCTAAGTCAATTGATTATAATAAAACTAGAATGGGTAACCCACTAAGCACTACTATTGGTTCTATCTGATATCCAATTCCACATGGATTACATAAATTGGCTAATGAGATATGATAATTTAGTTACACTTAGCCCACCGGGTCAATTAACTTGTCGGTCCTACACATGCGCAAGATAAAAGTTGTACTATCACACTCGTCAAAATACGCTTGTATCTCGTTATTATACAAAGAGAAATTCTTAAACTCGTAGTTAATTTATCTTTTTCCATGAAAGAGATATATGATAGAGCACAAATAGTAATTAATTTAATTTCGTCTCCTACCAAATTCACACAATTCGTAATGTGTGTCATACAAAAGAACCAGGAAACGACGAACCTTGTGCAATCCATTGTCAATGTTACAGTTCATGCGCAAACACAATATAGTTTTTGTATGCCGAAGCCATGTAAAATACAGATGAAAAATAAATATTTTTGTCCCTAAACTTTAAGCGTAGACACATATCACAAAAATAGAATGTTTCAAGAAACCATCATTTCTTGTAAATGTTGTTTCGTTGAATGTGTGATCAGATTCACTATTGTTTTCATAGAAGCGCCTGACAATTTAGAATAGCAAAAATATCTTTGCTATAATTGTAAGGCGTTTTGAATTTTTCGAGTTATGAAATGCAATGCAAAATTGTTAATTTAGACTATTCAGAGATTTACATAAACTTAATGAAAATGATTATCTTAGATATATTTTTAACGAAATTGATTTTTCAAATATTAAATCACAAACAATCCTAACATAAAAATACTATTCGTGAATAAAAAGCATTGCATCCCCTGGAGCTTTAAGGCTTAGCAGGAATAAAATGACATTGCAAGTTGTCCCGCTCTGCTAACGAGCAGTGTGCATCGCCCGAGGCACCTACAAACATACCATATAAGAGATTAGATATCTGCAGATAAATCTGAACATGACTTCTTATTGTTAGTATTGATCATTGATTTGTACAAAAACAACCTTTTGTGATTCGTTTTAAATGTAAGTATAATAAATAGATATTGTTACAATAAAAAATGATAACATTATTTTACTAACGTTCTCTGATTTAAATCACGTTCCAAATAATTTCAAATTACAATACCTTTTAGTCAAAACAAATAATTTAAAAACCCAATTAATAATAATTTTAATTGAATTTGTGACAAAGAACCGTAGCAATTTATTTCACGCGCTGTCTTCAATAGATATCTCAAGATATATCTTCAGATAATATTCTTCGTGTGTAAACCAATCAATCGATTGATACTGTGAAGCGACAAATAGATGTATTCACAATAAGTGCGAATGAGATGGAGTATAAAATGTAACGTGCAATAAACCTCGGGATGCAACCATTAGAGCACGCACACCTTTGACTAAAGTATCGCAGGACTGTTGAGTCTCGCTTTTATTCCTATGAGCTTATATGGAGGTTACACTACTCGATTTTTAGTTGTGCAACTAAACAATTGAATTGAAACAAAACAATCGACAATCGACACTTGTGTGATAGTTTAGTCAATGGTGTGCGACCGCTTTTACAGCGAGGAAGGCAAATAGAGGGAGTAAAAGGGTGTTCTCGTAGTTTTTTTTCCAATTACCGTTCTGTTTGAAGTGAGATTTATTTCGAATTCATATTGATTTTAGCTGTTTTTATTGTTCTATAGTAAAACTGTAGTTATTTAAAGAAATTTTATGACTATCTTTTGCACGTGACTTTGTCCACGTGGAATAATAAAAACAAAAGTAAGTCTTGGAAGTTTGAAGTTATACACCTGATCCCTAAGAAAGGCGACAGCTCCGATCCGTCCAACTATAGGCCGATTGCCACTACCCCCTTGTTTTCGAAAGTCATGGAAACCACCTTCAACTACCAACTCATGAGGTACCTGGAAGAGCACCAGCTGATCAGTGATCACCAGTACGGTTTCCGTCAGCGTCGCTCAGCTGGTGATCTTCTTGCGTACCTCACGCATCGATGGTCGGAGGCGATCGAAGGCAAGGGGGAGGCCCTGGCAGTTAGTCTGGACGTGGCCAAAGCCTTTGATCATTAAACATTCGAATTTATAATATTAGTAAGTTGGTCACATTGACTTCAGGGTACTTACAGAAATAAAAGAGACATAAATTGATAGATAAAATTATAATAAAGGTTAATTATAGGTTACTGTACATACTTACATGTAACTATATAAAACATAAACAACAATTGGACAAACATAAATATTTATTTAAATGCAAAAAAATTATGCGTCGGCCGGGAATCGAACCCGGATCAACTGCTTGGAAGGCAACTATGCTGACCATTACACCACCAACGCTATATACAACCTTCTAAAGATATCTCAGAAAATCCGTCAATACTTCGCAACCGTCAATACAATTGCGAACACTTGTACACACATTGCTATCCCTTTCTTTCTCTTTGAGTAAAGAGAGATAGCATATAAGTGTAATAGTACGAACATTAGAGCAGTGCCTGCAATAACTACGCAAGAATGTACATCATCGTCCTCCTTATAATTCTCCGGTAGTGGCGCAAATATTTTTGTCCTCCACTTAACTCTATCATACGTCATCTCAGTTACTCCCTTCTTGATCATGTCACCTTTCACGCAATCAATCTTTCTATGTCTACCTCTACCGGTGTACCACACTCATAACTAACGTTACCCTTGGTACAAGAATAAATCTTCGCAAGAATGTTGCACGATGCTATATCTTCTCTTTTTCGCAGGGTTCGGGAGAGTACCAACAGCATCCTAAGTGGGCTATGTGACAAGCCCGACTGCAAGATCATGGGCCATTGGGTGCGCGCACGTAGCCGGCTTTAGGTTTTTTTTTGTGACTGAATGGCCACTGTTTGCCTTGAAGAGGCATTTACAGATTCACCAGGCTTGAGGTGGCCGAGCGCAGATGGCGCTTAGCCTAAACCTCTTTTATGTTTGTCAAGTGTATATTTCAATTATATGTAATATATCTTACATGAATTCAATAAATAATTAAATTAAATACAACGACGACACAGAAGATAGGCATGAAATGGAAATATTTCCGCGCACAGTTTGATATACGTGACTAGGGTCTCATTTTAGAGCTCTACCCCTTTCTTCTCTTTTCTTTTGAAAATTTGGAATAGACGACTAAAGGTAACAGAGATAAGGGCATATCTTTCTGAGTCACCATCTCCGTTAATTAATATATTTGTAAATACGGATTTTCATAGGCAGCGGTCTTTCGCTTTTTTGGAGAATTCCTGTCACTGCTTAGTCGTTTGTCACTTTATACTATTGTTACGTAGAATGTTCTTTGATAATAAGCTTTTTAATTTATGACAGATTTTATGATTTTTGATACTCTTTGATTGTTATATGGAATAGGTTGCTATGGTTATGTTGTTTTGGAAGTCAGAACTTGAATTAATAAATATAGTTAAGAATTCGCAACAATTGGTGTCAGGTGTGGGGTATGGCCACACAGCGATTATTGAAACGATTTATTATCAAAGAACATTCTATGTAACACAATAAACAAATACATACTTTGGTAGTGAATCTTACTAATATTATAAATGCGAGAGTTTATATGGTTGTTTGTGAGTGCAGCCTAAACTGCTGAACGGATCGTGATGAAATTTGGCACATATGTAGATCATAGTCTCTAAGAACAAATAGGGTAATTGATTTTGTTTTTTTTTAATCCCTCGCGTACAGAGTCGCGGGCAAAAGCTAGTAAATAAATACAGTCGTGGAATACTAAAATATGAATAGATATTAGATACATTTCTAAGTACATGTTTCAGAGAAGTATCACGATCTTGACTTAAATTCCTAGAACCTTTTGCTATTTGTGTAGATCACGATTTAGATTACGTTTGAAAGCATAAATATGAATAAGAAATATGGAGTAAACAAAACAAAATGTTAATATAGTTAGATAAATAATTTCTTATCCTGTAATGTGTCTGTCAAAAGATTAAAAAAAAAAAGAAAAACGTCATCTGTCACTTCTGACAGCCGACATACACGTGTCATAAAAAAAAACGTTGATCATCCATCATTATTATTCGCCGAGGCTTGAGTTTTCCATTATTATTGTTACTTGTGACTACTGTTTTCCTCCTTTTGGATGTGGAAGTGTTGCTTCTACATGAGGCAGCGGAGTCGAAGGAGGAGTGTGCCGCCTGGGATCGGAGTACCTGCTGTCCAGAAGTTTAGGAAGCAGACAAGAAGCCGAAGACAGCCAATGAACTGAACCCAGCTGATGTGCTTGTCGCTTCCTTGTAAGCGAGGTTGATCGCTGTTTAAGTTTTTTTTTTAATTTATAGCTTAATAAAGCAAAAAATGTTATAACAAAAAATATTTTTTTATATATATAACAGAACAACGCGACAATCCTTAAGAGCGGGCGCACACATTTGACAAAACCATCTCACAACTATTGTGCGATTGTC